TTTTCAGTGAACTGAAAGCTATGCCAACTACCTTGTCTGCCCGAATGACTAGATGGTCTTTAATATTAAAAGCATACGAGTATACTATTGAGTACAAGCCTGGGAAATCCCATGGTAATGCTGATTCGTTAAGTAGAGTACCCATTTTTAACATAAGGTGTAATTATGAGGAACACATGTGTTTGATGTTGGACGAGTTAGACTCGTCACCATTTACTTCTGATGATGTAAAGTTTTGGACAAGTCGTGATCCTTTGTTAGCTCATGTCCGTGAATTTGTATTACGTGGTTGGCCAGAAAAACCTCCAGATGAGAGCTACAGGCCATTTTTCAGAATTCGTAATGAGCTTACTGTAGTTGATGGATGTATTGTTTGGGGTACACGTGTGGTAATTCCACCGCAAGGTAGAACAGAACGTCTCAGGGAGCTACATGTAGCACATCCTGGAATGAACCGTATGAAAGGTTTAGCCCGTAGTTATGTTTGGTGGCCATCCATGGATGCGGAAATTGAAAATAAAGTTAGATGTTGTGATGTTTGTCAACAAAATCAGAAATCTCCAGCAAAAGCTCCATTACATTCTTGGGAAGTTCCTAATAAACCTTGGACTCGTGTTCATATTGATTATGCTGAGTATGAAAAATATAATCTTTTAATAATAGTTGATGCGTATTCTAAGTGGATCGAGGCTCACAGAATGACCTCCATCACTTCAGCTGCCACAATTTTGAAATTGAAACAAGTGTTTGCTACTTTAGGCATTCCTGAAATTTTAGCATCAGATAATGGGAGTAATTTTACTAGTGATGAATTTTCACATTTTCTTAATGTAAATGGTATTACACAAATTTTAGTAGCACTATACCATCCTTCATCCAATGGTTTGGCTGAAAGAGCCGTTGAAATTGTTAAAAACGGTCTTAATAGAGTTAAAGACGGTACTATTGATGAGAGATTAGCTAAGATTTTATTTCGCTATAGAATCATTCCACAATCGAGAACCCAAGTTTCATCCGCTGAACTTTTAATGAAACGTAAGCTTAGGTCTCGTCTTGCAATTGATTCTGTACACCCACAGTTTAATAAAACAATTGTTGAATCTCAAAGGAAAATGAAAGTTTTCCATGATCAAAATGTTAAAGAGAGACAATTTTCTATTGGTGATACAGTTTGGACTCGAAGTTATAGTTATGGTAGTCTTTGGGTTAAAGGGAAAAATAGAATCTAAGTCAGTCCTGTATCTTACACAGTGAAATTGTCTGATGGTCGATGGGTTCGTCGCCATATTGATCATATTGGTTCTAAACATTTTGAGTCAACTTCAATTGAATTACCAAATACTAATA